CCATCCTCTCCCCCACTTCCCAGCCATTCCCGCTCGTCCTGTCACTGCAGGCCCTTGTAAAAAGTCCCTCCCCAGCCTTCTCTTAGGCCCCCTTCAGGTACTTGAAGGCTGCTAGAAGGTCTCCCCAGAGGCTTCTCTTTTCCGGGCTGAACAAGCCCAACTCTCTCAGCCTCTCCTCATAGGAAAGGTGTTCCAACCCTCTGACCATCTGGGTAGCCCTCCTCTGGACTCACTGCAAGAACTCCATGTCTGTCTTCTGTTGGGAGGTTTGCTGAGGAGAGGGAGCTCCTGTGAGGTTCTTGCTGAGGTTCCTCCTGCTTCTCCTCTGACTTCTCCAGAGGACTGGTCAATGGTGATGACTGGACATTCATTTGGCTAAATGTAACTGTATATCTCTGTTGTTACTGGTGGTGTTTCGTTAAATCTGTTTCATTTCTACCCACGGGTCTGTTCTCTTTTTTCCTGATTCCCCTCCCTGGTTGATGAGGGGTTGTCGGGTGATAGAGCAACTGTTCCAGTTTAGCCCTGGGTACAGGCTGTGTGTAGACAGGCACTAAGAGACAATAAATAAAACTGACAGTATCCATCAGCCTGGGAAACCTGGCTGAGCTGCTGGCGCTGATCTCACCCGCTCTGACTGATCCACATTTGTTTTGCCCTTTGATGGGATGATTTCTGTCAGACTCGGTGGTTGCTGGGTTAGGTATGAAACTTTTTGCGGTGACAAGGTATTTGAAAATGTTGTAGCTCTGCTAACTTGATAGGGAACGAGGTGACATTACATTCTAACAAACTAAAAAACATAGTTCACTGAAAACATTATGAAGTAATTTGTCATATTCCAATGCTATTGAGACTATAACAGCACCTTTTATAGATGCTGTTATTGCATCCAAGTGTATAAAAAGCCCAGTATTTGATTTATTGGGTAAATCTGTCGTATTTTATCTTAGTGTATTGTTGATGACATACCATATTATCTATGGGTTATGGTAAGCAGACAGCTTTCTGTACTGTGCTAAATAAGTTATGTAGTCTGTGACGCAGTAAGAGAGATTTGGATTCCTGTCCATCACAAAGAATTTTATGGATTTCTTGTAGAGAATGAAATAGTTTATTAGAGTGACAGTTGGTAAAGGTGTTTGGGGTCTAATTGGTGAAGAGATTGTTCCAAGGAAACTGTCTTACATGTTGCAAAACAAAAATTTCTTGGTATGCTGAAGTTACGAATGTTAATAAGATCTTCCATTAGTACTTACCGATTGTATTGGGAGGAGGCAGCTTGGTGGAAATCTGCAGGAAGGTTTAGACGATGACAACACAGCGTCACTGCACAATGCTGTTGCAGTAAAAATGACTGATAACAACTTGAAATGTCCCAAACCAGCACTTCAGGAGTTCATGTGAAGTGGTTTGGAAAGCTGACAGTTAAATTATATATGTCTGGCAGCACAGTTCAAATAGTAAACAGTTGTGTTCAGTTTAGCAGATTTTCATGTGTGTACCTGGTGTAAGCAGGATTGAAGTAGGATCAGTGATTTTGTCAAATATAATATATGAATTTTTTATGTACATCACAATGAAAATCTCTCTGCTTCATATTTGTTCGGAGTAAATCTTTCAAAAAAACTCCAGTGTTGATCAGAAAATGATATCAACGTTGGTGATAAAGAATGAATCTGATGAAAGCTTGTGTCTAGATGGCATTACTGGCATAAACGTGGACAAAAAAAGCGATTTATATTCCTTTTTTCAAATCTTGATGATTCCTGTCATTGAAATAGTGCTATAGGATTGTATATCCGGGTATGACAACCAAGTGATATGATCCATATTGTCAAGAAGCATTGTTGCAAGGAGGGGGATTTTTACTGTGGTGGCGGTTTTCTGGGCCGGAGGGGAGGTGGGGGATGGGGGTGTTACCCTTTCATCCATACCGACCTTTTTTGTCACAGCAAAGGGAGGCACCAGTTTAGTGCTGTGCATTCTCCAGTCCCAGTGTAGTTATTACAGCTATTATTACACTAACAGCTATTACACCGTTACCCCATTATCTTTTTTAATCGAAGTGAAAAGTTACCAAACCACATAAAAGGAGTGATTCCACCCCAAGTTCGACCTCGGAAAGGATCCTAAAGCAAGCAAATGCAGCTTCCTCAGCTGTAGGAAGGTGGTGGGAGGCAGCAGCTGGTATCCGGCCCCTCAGCCCTGCTGGGTGCTGTGCTTTGGCCCCCAGGCTGGCCCCAGCCACCCCTGAGGAGATGGCCAAAGGGCTGGTGGGGGCATCAGGGCCACCTTCCCAGGAACCCCCAGCCCCCTTGGCACTGTGATCGCCCACCCGGGCTCCCCAGGAAGGATTGTGGCTGCCAAGCTGAGCCAGGGAGAGACCCGAATGGGTGTGATGGCCGCTGACAGGGCTGTTAGTGGGTGCTGCGGGCGCAGGCCCTCGCCGGGAGCTGGGAACCGGCCCTGGGACAGGGTGTGAGCCGAGCTGCTGCCGGCGCAGCTCCGGGGAGTTTGGGTCTGTGCTGCTTGTAAGCGCTGCCCTGGGCTCAGGGGGGCTTTGGTGTCGGCTGGCAGAGGGGTTCATGGAGCTGCGGCTCCTTCCCGCCCCGTGAAATGCACCACGGAGGGGCTGAGGAAAAGGGGGTAGTGAGTGCCTGGTGCTTGGGGTGCTGGAGCCTGTTTAAAGGTGAGGGAGAGGGAGCAGAGAAGGTGGTGGTCACCAATGCTGTAGCTGAAGCGCCATCACCCCCCTCAGTATTACCACACCTCTGGTGTGACCTGACCTGGTGGGATCATCCTGTAGACGAGGAGTGACCACACTGGGAGAAGCATGCCAGAGGGCTGGTGTAAGATGGGCTGTGTGGCAAAGGGTGATGCCTGAATTTGGGTAATGCCTCAACCTTCGCAATACAAAGGCCAGGAGAGAATGACTGGAAATTCTCCATATCTCACCTCATGCACGTGGACTTTGAAATCTTTCTGCCAGAAAAGGGAAAAGATAGGATGGAAGGGAGATAGAAAACCTTTTGGAGACCATACACTGTCAGTTAAGGAATTGGGATTGTGTGGGATCATTTAGGGGAAATTTGTTGCTTGGGGAATAGTTTCCCTACTTCTTAAATGGGGATTCCTCCATGCTGTATGCAGTGAACTTTGTTGACTCGTTTTGGTTCTGGATGGAGCCCTACAGCTGTCAAACTCAGGAGCCCATTCGTACATCCGATGGGAGCATTGCTTTTTGCTCGTGCGTTGCTTACTACGTCAGTAGATGGCTCATATACTTAGCTGTGGAGAATAACTCGGACTGTTGTGATGCTTTTGCTTACATGTTTTCCAAGGTCAAGAAGGGACAATGGAACAAATGTAAATTGAATGCGCATTTTGCTTATTTTTAATAAGAATGAAACTTGTGATTTGGATAAAAGCAAGATAATATAGAGTATTAGAGCTGATCCTGGAAGCTGTTCTTGACTTGAGTGATATTGCTATTTAGGGCTAAAATTAAGTAGGATTTTGTTAAATAGTGATTTGCCCAGGGCTGGCTGTGGTTAACATATGAAGGCTTATGGTTTAATGCACAAGTTTCATGACCAGTCTTTGTCTTATGTGTAGGGTGTTTTCAGCAAAACAGACACAGCAAATATAATTCAGGTTCAAGGTAATAATCTAATTTAGCAATATGGACCATGTATTGTCTATCGTTTATACTAATGGATAATGTTAGAGCATATGTAATATTAATCTATTACTGTCTTCTCTCTCTCAACAGATCTTGATAATGTAGAAGGCATAGCAGTGGACTGGATTGGAAATAATCTTTATTGGACAAACGATGGCCGCAGGAAAACGATTGCTGTAGCCAGACTGGAGAAAGCTGCTCAGAGTAGAAAAACTTTGTTGGAAGGAGACATGTCCCACCCTAGAGGAATTGTTGTTGATCCTGTCAATGGGTATGAAGTAGACTAATCTATGTCATTTAATGATTTTCTTTATAGTATAAATACAGGATTGGATTTTGCTTAGGATGGGGCTTGTAGAGTCATGCAGTAGTCTAATTCTACGGTAGTCTAGAATATCTGTAATTCCTGTCCAGTGTTCTTGCCTGAAGCCTTCAGAAGAATGTGTGTGCCCAGACACCATTGAACCTACATCCAGTTAATCTGAATGTGGTTCACCTTTTTCTCAAATAAATTGAGTGTATCAGACCTGTACGTATTTTTAATACTAAGCGAACTTCGTAATACTCTCCTTTATTTCTCTCTTTGTAAGTCTTAGTTTCTGAAGATAATTATAACCATATCGTGTACACTTTGGTTTACAAGACTAAATGAGACAGGTGCTTTTCATTGCTTACTAGCATAATTAATTGTGACAAGCTGCATAATAAAAAGAATATTATATTAGTGTAGTATAGTTGTGGTTTACCTAAAAAATCACTGTTACATTTATTCAGGGAATTGTCACTGGACAATGGCATAGGCAGGTAGTTCTAGTGTGCCTGGATTGATTGCTGTTTCCCTAGTGCTAGAATGTATTTGCACTATCAGGTGTTCACTTTCGAGCTTGTCCTTTGAGGAATGGAAGTGACTGTGGAAAGGCTACAATTAATTAAGGTCAGATAGTAAGGATGTAAAATCAGGACCACAAACCATAACCATACCTACAATTACTTTGTTAAATTTTCCAGCTCAGTAAATGCGTGGCACAGGAAATAGTGTATGAAGATGTATTGTCTGAAAAGGGCTATTATAGAGCACACTTTTCTAATAAAATAGCCTGCCCTTCGTGATTATACTTCTCATGGAAGCTTTTCCTGAGGGATAGCATTTATTATGGCATTTTAATTATGTTTAGAAAATATTAGTCTTGATTTAACCAATGTAGAAGCATTAACTGCATTTTGAGATACAATTAAAGCACATTAATGTAAATGTCTGTTACTGTAAGCGTGTTTTAGCTTATGACATGTTAACTAGAATAAGTACAGACAAAAAGTTAATGGAGAAAAGATCAGTAATTGCTGTTAGGCAGTCATGTAAATATTTGTAAAACATATTCTGTCTTCCAATAAAACAAATACCATACTGACCTGCGTCTCTGCCTGAGCTTTTGGGCATATGCAGGTTTTATAACTCTTTGATTAAACCTAGTGTTGTTTGAGTCAAACATGCCATGCAGTTTAAAGCCTCCTGAGCAAAAATTGATTGATGTTCTTAGCATATATTTACAAAAATATTAAAAGAACCCAAAACAACCTTCTGGTGGGTGACTTGGAAGAGACAGAAAAGAAACAAAAAAGGTACATTAGCATGTCTGGAAACCTGTGTAATGATGATGTAATTTTTTCTTTATCTTTTCCAATTTCTTATCTAAAAAAAAAAAAAAAAAAAGATCAAATTGTGCTTATACATTAGAGTGTATTTGATTACAATTTTTGAGCAGTAGATTTGGCATCATTTACACAGATCTGGTGACAAAACTGTGTTTCACTTCAGTGTTTCATTCCTTTGTAAATTCAGAATTTCAGTTCCAGGACTTTATTCTTCAATGTAGAGACAGGTTAAGTGCGTTAGGATCACACAAGTTATTTGAGAAACAGAAGTCTGGTGAAATCAAAGGTGAGGCGCATAAATACTAATTAAGTCATGGCAACTTTAACAAGTAGGATCCATTTAAGATCTGTATGATGTTTTTCATCTAATTAACACTTAATAATTGAAATCCTAGGTTTGACTTTAAAAGCAAACGTCTACTGTCTAGTGAACCTTTTCAGCATATTGATGTCACTGTGTCATGTGATCTGAAATGCTGTTTAGGCGCTTCACAGATTACATACAGACTTCTGTGTGCTTTTTCCCATGAACCTGTGGTTTTCCAAACTTTGGAGGGGAAAAAAAAGAAGTAAGAAAAAGAGAAAAGTGGTGTTTCTTAGCATATTTGCTACCCTCTGCTTTTGTGTAAGTTCAGGTTGTGTATTTTAAATTGTTGAAATCAGAGTTGTCACCAGCAAATTCTGTAATAAAATTATAACCAGATTAATTCAATAAGGAAAAAAAAAAAACAAAAAGAAACATGGGATATGTTCTGTAGTGTCCAGCAGAGAACATCTCAGAGAATTCATCTGAGATGATACTTCTAGATGACTTACTATCATCTTTGCTACATTTCCAAAGTAGCATAGGAACCTATTTCTCAGAGTTTTGGTTATCGACATTGCTGCACTATAAGCCGTAACACTATGCTAAAATTGCCTACTGCAATTTTCCAAATAATTTTTATAGCCAATCTTCCTAAACATTTTTGTGAGGGACAGTGTTCATAATAGGGGTTTTTTGAGTAATTTAGCTGCTTTCATGTGGAATGTGAAGTTCACAGAATGTCAAGGTTATCCTGTAGCTATTAAACTAGAGTGCAAGTAATTCATGTATTGCAGCTTTTTTGATAGTATTAAACATAATAAAAAGCAGATTTGCATCATAAAGGCAAATTAGACTCTGCCAACAAAAAAAAAAAAAAACACCCTCAAAAAAAAGCCCAGTAAAAGTTCGCACTTTGTGACAAAGTCAATAAAATTTCTGGTTTAAAAAAAGAAAGTGTAATTCTGGTTGGATTAAATAAGAACTTTAACAACTCATTCACTGTTCTTGTCAGTTACCCGTTTGTATTCATGTAATTCATTACAGTATGGGCAAATCAACATAAGTGTCATTTCAGCAGCATCCAGTACACAGGGAAAGTAACTGTAGTGGTAGAAACAGCAGTGGAAAGAAACATGCAAAAGTCAAAATCGCTCTGGCTTGTGGCTATACTGTTGTGAACTGCTGCTAAAAGTCTACAGTATAATTCACATGATTAAAATGGTATCTGAATGTTCATTTTTATAATTCCATAGCTGGATGTATTGGACAGACTGGGAAGAAGATGAAATAGATGACAGTGTGGGAAGAATTGAGAAGGCATGGATGGATGGCTACAGTCGGCAGATTTTTGTAACATCAAAGATGCTATGGCCAAATGGTTTAACTCTGGACTATCGTGCCAATGTATTGTACTGGTGTGACGCCTATTATGATCACATTGAAAGGATATTTTTGAATGGAACTGACAGAAAGGTAAAAGAAAAATACTGCTGTTTTGCCACAGGCATGGTCTTTCTCGGGATTTTATTGTGTTATGTTAAAAATACTTCTCAGGCTTTCTAAAGTCTGCGTAACCCTGTGGCATGTCCAGCATCATCTCTGCTGAAACAAGCAATGCTGGCAGTCTCCTGTAGGAGACTATTACACAGCTTGAAATTTTCATCTTCAGAAAGTGACACAAAAGTTGGGGTTTTTCTTTAATTTTTTTAGAACTATTTTTCTCATGTGACAATGAGTTACATTTTTGATTGAGCTATGAAGCTACAAAGAGCTGTTCAGCAGAAAAAAAAAAAAGACCTTTTGGATCTGACAGAGAGAGGCTTTTATTTAACTTTGCTATTAAGCTGCTTTCGATGAATCTCAGCACCTCGTTTCAACGTTTGTGATAATATGCAGAGGAGAAGCACTCAACAAGTGCGGTCGGAGATGGAGAGAGATTGTTTTAGTTGTTCTAAAGCCTATACGAACTAGATACAAGTCTGTATAGGAGTTCTGTGGTGGTTTGTGGTAGTAAGAAGCACAGAACAGACATCTGGAAAATGGTTAAAGCTTAGACTGGAGTCTGATAATTTGGGGAAGGTTTACCATCTGCTTCATAAAATTAGCACCCTGACAACTGAAATTTCACCGTTAATTGAGAATGGTGGGCATTAAGTCCTTCTGTGGGAGGATTTTGTCACAAAATGTACGTGTCTTGTGACTTCTCATTTATCCTTCGCTCATTATTCCCTCTGTATGATGGCCTTCATAGGACCAGTACATGGATATCTAGTATTGAAAGTGGCAACTGTAGACACGGTCCTCCCTGGAACTCATCACCATACAAGCTCATATTGCTTTAAAATTGCTTTTAAAATCCTGAATATAGAGTAATCTGTTGTTAAGCCTGTACTAATGCTGTGGTGTTGCATAATAGCTGGGTTAGGATTTACATTTAGCACTTCTACTTTTGCTCCAAATCCATTATGGTCTGGAATGGAGTGGGGAGGGGGCTAAGTACATTGGCAGAAAGATGTTTTTTAATTAGAGATCGTTGTCAACTGGCAGCGCTAGACTTTCTGAAAAGTTCCTGGACAGAACAGGTCTAGGAAGATTAAATGCAGCTGCCATGGCTTATACGTGGATTACTAGTGAGAACTGCTGTTTTACCACTAGAACTGGTGAATAATAAGAAGCACCTGTCTTTACAGGTTGTGTTTTGAAGTGTGTCTCAGTATAGTTCTGGTTTTTAGAAAAGTGATTTTCTGTAATCCTGTGTTTTAAATAAAATGCATAACGATTTGAATAACATTTATGTAGCCAAAAATAACTAGAAGATACTTTTGATGATGAATCATTTGTTGTTAATTATAGGATATTTTGGTCAAAATATAACTGGATCAATAGAATCTTTAATTCTCTGTCAGTATGGTGATGATTTTGGGGGCTGTGAAAGTCCTGCAAGAATTCTGCCGGTACATACTGGATAATAGATGGATTAATTTTGATCAAAACCAGTTAACTGGGATGAGGCGTTTTGACCAAAAGGATTCCAAGCCAAAAGAGAAAATTTGAAGGGCAAATTTGTGACCTCAACGTAGTTGTATTTTAGTTGTCTTTATCTCCTTGTTGTCTTGGGTTTGTGTCTCTTAAGTAAAGACAAGGTAGGGCATCTGATGAACTGCTTCCTTCTTTCTAGAGGCAAGGTAGAAAAACACTGTTGGGCGTTAGTTCAAGCAAGGACCCCAGCCAGCAGAAGACGAGTGGAACTTAGTCACTCCAAACTGCGGCTGCTCTGATGAAGTAGAAAGGCAGGGCTCGGGAAAGTAGATGATTTAGAGTTCTGCAGTTTTCTGTGTCTAATTTTTAAAGGGAATCATTCTAGTTACTGTAGTCGACTTGATGGTAAGTTTAGACTCCTTTAAGAGTTTTGTTTTGTTCTATAGGGATTGAATATATTTTTAAACTGTTCCTCATTATCAGACAGCTTTTTATTGTGGTAGTTGCAGTTCTTGTGAAGGAGTCCTGAGACTGGAACTTCAGCAAATGATGCAGTTTTAGAGCGTTTCTGTGGCCAATAAAATATGAAGATAAGATTGGGGGTGTAGTTTCTAGTTTTATGTATGTACCAGAAGTAGGCGCATGGAAGAAAGTTTGACTTATTTTGGGAACAAACTGCAATGCTTTTTTTAAGTCAACACAACCCAAACTAGAGAGGAAGTTCACAGAAATAAATAAGCAATCTCTGCCCTTACTTCACATTTCAACAAAAATAAGCAGCTCATATACACTATTCTCCATTTTCAAAGAAACAGATATTTGATATACTTGACAGATACTCAAAGCTATATGAAGAATCATGCTTCCTTACTGTGGAAGGGGGTAGATATTTACTGAACATAATGATTGCAGAGTTACCTACATTCCGTTGCGCTATCTGACAAGAGACACTTAAAATGAATTTATACGCAGTTTTAAAGTTCGATATTGATGCTGGTGCATAGAACAGCTTTACACTCTTTATTTGATTTTATTGCATTAACTTGTTATGTTTGGGCACGGTATTATCTCCGTTTTCCTGTTTCCCATTTTATGTTCTCTGCAGTGCATGCTAAGAAATATTAATAGTTACTTTAACCTTGCTAATACTCACCTACCACTAATTAATTGCAGGTAGTCTACAGTGGAAAAGATTTGAATCATCCTTTTGGACTGTCACATCACGGAAATTATGTTTACTGGACAGATTACATGAACGGGTCAATTTTCCAGTTGGATCTGGTTACAAGGAACGTGACACTGTTAAGAAGTGAGAGACCACCTTTGTTTGGGCTCCAGATTTATGATCCACGTAAACAGCAAGGTATTTATAACATAAGATTTCTCCAAAGGTCTGCTATAAAAGGATATCTTGCCTTACAGTCTCCTAGAATTTTGAGGTGACGAGATGAACAACAGAAAAAATAATATGACTTGTGGCATGAGAAAGACACTTTCCAATCTTCCATCCGTTGATCATCTCATAGTTATTAAAAAGTGAATCATAGTATTACTAAAAAGTGAATCACAGTGTTATACCCATCTGAATTTCTTCTGTGTATTTACACTGCCTTTATTGCCATTTTTCTTGTGTGTCACAGAGATACTTTTGAAAGAAAGTATAAAATAGAATAGATGATATACACATCGGTTCATAGACATAAAATATATTGTTGTATTTACCTTTTCTTGAATAAGATCACATATCCTGTCTGTCTTTTGCTTTCTGTAATTTTCTCCCCCATCTTGGTCTACATCAGCACTGTATGCCTTAATCTCCTGAAAGTATGTGGTATTGTGACACAGAATCAGAGTAAGTGGCCTTTGAGAGTGGTAGAAAAATCCACAGTTGTTCCTACTTATATCAGTAGAGAAATGAGATAAAGGCCATAGGTTTGCATGGATGGAGATAGAAAATGCAATTGCTACTATACAGGTAAATTTACAAATCTATTTTACTGAAGAAAATTTTGAAAGGTATTTGCTGCATCCAGTGTTCAGATGAGTTGTTGAATATTTGCTTGCTTTAATAAAAATGTATTTCTGATTAATGCCTGCTGCCAAACATAAAACTGAACATCAGGAATTAGTATAAATAAAACGCTGTTTAAAAGTTGACCATATTAAATATTAATGGCTGTAGATCTCATTAATCCTATAGATCATCATTTTTGACATGTAGAACATTTCCAAGTCAACAGTTCCTATAGAAAATCAGAGACACTGAGATGCTGGCAGTCCTGCTACATTTGATTCTGTACATGAACAAGAAAAGTAACAAAACGTAAATTGCACCATTTATCTGAATGCTACTTAGCACAGATACAATATCAAAACATGCTTGTTAAAGCAGAGATTGTTTTGGGTTTGATTTGGGGTTTTTTTAGTTTACAGGGCCTATTACAAGCACTTAGTGCCTGTGCATGAAGCCCGATTTTATTTTCACAGTATCATCACCTCCAGATCTGGATGTGGGTACAGTGTCTTGTTCATGTCTGTTCTTAGCGCTTGGAAGATTTGGCTGTGTCTCTTGTAGTTGATGAATGGTTTGGAGAGCAACTGATAAATCTACTACAGAGTGGATAGAATCAAAACAATAGAAAAATATTTAGCAGTTGTAGATACAGAGGGAATATTTAGCCTTTATATTTATTATAGCCGTATATCTATATGCCAAATGTGTATATATACATTTCTCTGTGTGTATACAAAAGTGATACAGTATAGAAGAAAGTATAGTATAGTGACTGTTTTCCCTGTATATACTGGCTAAATATTTTGTAGTTTTATTTCAAAAGTTTGATGTGCCCCACATAAGAAATATTTTTTGTTGCTTTTCTTGTGTCTAGTCTTACAATTCTTTTTTCATCCAGAAAAAAAAAAATAGAAAAAAAAAACTGGTGATTTACGAAGGGAAGAAACAATTTAGTTTTCAAAACAATGCTAAAATATAAAATGGGAAGTGCATATGTGTATAGGCAAATTCTTGGCATTTAATATCTGTATGTATAAGGTGACTTAATGTTATGTTTCATTTTAAAATTTACTATATTTGAAGACTTCAATACGTGGTTAATATTCTTTGGAGAAGACAAAGACTTCTTCTCTGTCTAAAAGTACGTCTCTATTTTGTTTTTCCTTTGGAGAAACAGTTTTTACAAGTCTCAACCACCTGAGGCCTTGCTGAAAAGCTTAGTGATTTTCTTTGATATGAAGTCTTCCCTTTCCTGCTGCATAATGTTTGTGAATGTACATCTAGGCTTTCTTAGGGAAAGCCGTTGAGATTAGTAATTGATTATGGAGTGCTGAGGTCCAGACAGCCAGCTCGTAGCTGATTTTATCAATATGGAGGCAATGCTGAAAGTTTCTCCTTTCTGCTATTATAACATCTAGATTTTCAATGCCAAAACCAAACTGTAGTATGTGTAGTGCTGTGCTGTGTCAAAGTCATTGTAACGGTGCCTCTCTGATCACACATGTTTTTCAGGGATTCTCTTACTGATAAAGTCATGTGAAAACATGGTGTGTTTGAGGTTTTTTTGTTGGATTTGGCATTTTGGGTTTTTTTTAAGGCAAAATCTGGCTCCAAATCTACCATCAAGTTGGCCAAATTTCACAGTACTTTGAACTGCATCTGCTAAGAGAAGATGTGGTGATTCCTTTAAATAATTAGTACTTCTGCTGCTTTATTTGGGACTCAAAAGTTCTTTTGCTTTTAGGAAAAAAGGGAAATTTACAAATTAATGGAATTGGAAGTTTGTAAGCTAACTGCAGCTTTCAGGATCTTCCCTTTTTGTCATACTCAGTGAGGCTGATCTTGCATTGCTCCCAAAGGAGCATAAGCATTACTTTTAAAGAAAGTAAAGCTAATTTTTTTTTTGTTTTTTTTGTTTTTTTGTTTTTTGTATTTCTTAAGAAAAAGGAAGATCAAGGTGAATCGTGGTACAGAGAAAACCATAGTAGTTCATTTTATCGTACAATTTATAGCTTAAGCACATGCATCTTAGGAATATTTGCCACTGATTTTTTGAAGGTGATTGTTTTGATGCTGCTGTTATTGTCACTGTCTACACAAGCAGAAACCATGGCAGTTCATTTTGGCACTGTTGAATTGAGACTGGCACTTTTATTAGAAGGTCTTTTACAGGGTACTTGACTGTGCCAATCCTGCTTTGCTTAGTACTATGGGTAGCAACATTAAGCTGCTTTGGATGTCTCCTTAAGAAGAGGTGGTTTTCGCTGTCTTTCTATCTCATGAGACATGATCCTTTTCTTGCTTTCAGAGATTTGAATTCATATTACTTTCTTAGGCTTAGTCTTTGGGTAAGAAAAACCTTAAAAAATGGGGAGGTGGCAGGAAGCATAGTAATCATAGGAGTTGGGTTTACAGTCAGCATATGAACCTGCCAAGGCCTGCAGGTGTTTCTACTGCTGTGAAAGGGCAGATTTCTACTCATATGTAAGTAATTCTTGTGTAAGTCCATTTACAGCAGTTAAAATAGCCTCTTTTGAAATCAGTTGATATTTTAACTCCTCAGATTGCAAAGAAGAGCTGCTTGAGCCCCAGGCTGCTGCTCTTCATGTGTCTAGTATGATCCTAAAAGTAGGCTTAGACACCTGTAGCAGTACTTGAGGTTAGGTTTATGGGAAGGTACCGATATAAACGAGTACTCATGAAAACATAGAAGTACAAGGGTTGATAAGCAGCAATAAATACTTCAGTGTATCTTTTAATGAGATGATTAAACGAATGTATATGGCTGCTATTTTTTTTTTTTTTTTTCCTGAGAATGGTGACAGAGATGCAAGTACCTTGTTGCTTTAGCTCTGGCCTATTTTTTCAGCAGATTAAAATGGAATCAGCCTAATTTAATCATATGCAAGCGGCAAGGCAGCAGCTGGTTTAAAAGCTGGCAAAATACGACAAATATAATAGCTTTGAAAGTAGTTTTAAAATTTTGGGACTATTTTAAGAAGACCCATATAAAGTAGATGTTGTGAACAGCAGTTGAGGAAATGTAATTTCATAAATACTTGGTAGCTAAATGAGTTCCACAGCTTAATAAAGAGGCTTAACCTGTTTGTTGTACTGCATTTCAGGAGACATTTTAGCTTAGGAGTCTTTTCAGGAGACTGATGGGACTGAAGATCTCATTGCACTTTCAGGTTGAAGACTTCCATTAAAGCTCGCTTTATCAACCTTTTTTTTGTAGGATCTTCTTGCTTTAAGTCTTGGTACTTGTATTTTCCTTGTCATCAGCCTCTCTTTTATCATCTGCTTAGCAAGTTGCCTACTGTGCTATACTTTGTCATCCCAATTATGAGGTTAAGTGGGAACTTTTCATCTTCAAGACAGACCAGTTGACTTTGATCTAGTGTTTTAATATTTTATTTTATTATGTTTATTTTAAGCTTACATTCAGCTTCAGAATCGTAGTGGGTTTTCAAAGTGTTTATTATATTTGTCTTAAATAGTCTTTTATTCTATAGTGATCTGACAAACTCACGCGTATTCTTTAATTAAATCACTGCAAATTTCCTTGATTTGTGCTTTATAATTTTGGATTCACTTTTGAAGATTTTATTTTGGTTTGTTTGTTTTGGCAGCTCCTTAAATCTTTGTGTTACTGACATTCTTTGATTTGTATAATAGGTGGCCCTTTAAAGATGTGGAGAGTTTCAAGGCTACTTTTGCTGGGTTGATGTTATACCTGTTCCAAGATTTAGATGCAAATACTAAGAGATGTACTTACTCTTTTGATGTTTGTTCGTGTTATTTGGGTATTGGTGAGCTCAGGTGTAATAAAGGGGTGGATTTTTGTACAATGTTTTAAGTCATAGTCTAAAATATGGAGTCAAGATCCAATGAAGTATTTTATTGGATCTTGACTTCAGTCCAGTCTATGTTGGAACTGCTCTATCTGAAATTGTGATCCAGCCCTCACACGTCGTAGAGACTTGCAGTTTTCCCTGTTTATACAGCTATGTTCGTTCCATCTTCCTTACACCCTGCTCAGTGAAAGTATAAGTACCAAAGTGGCTTCCCACAGGATTCTGTATTAATTATTTTACACAAATTTCTTTGAAAGACCAGTGGGGTTTTAGCAAACGATAGATACATTTGCTTCTAAGAAATTATGTATGATGGGTCAGAAGAAAGTCTAAGAATAGATTATTATGAAAAGCTCAAGGTCTGTATCGTAGATGTATTGAGGTATGTCTTAGAATTTGAAAATTTTCAAAATCTTAAATTATTTGCTGGTTATCTGATGTTCATTTTATAATTTGATAATTTTAACCTGTTTTCCTACACAAGCAGGTGTGGCTCTGACAGGATGGTTTAATATGCATGTTCTCAGCTACCTCTGTGAGAACTTAATCTTTTCTGTGAAAATAGAAGTGGTAGTGCTTTGAGGAAAGGGAATTGTTTGATGTCTACCTTAACCCAGGACGTTGATTAATGTTCTGTACGCCTGAAGAGGAGGAGCAGAGGAAGGAACACCTGCTGTTTACTAGGACAGGAAGGTGAAAAAAAGTAGTTTAAATGTGAAGTTTCAGCAGACATGAAGTTTTATAGCTTGCCTGACCATAGTCGGTTATCACCACCACATGAAACTAGCAGAGCTTTGATCTTCAGAAGTTGAATGTCCTCAGCAGTGCATGTCTAAGCAATTAAGTCATGACCAAATTGACACAAGCAGAAATTGTAACATTTGCTGCAGTGGGCTTCGGCTTTAGGTCTGCTTGCATAAGGAATGAGGTGGTGAGGATGCAGCAGTCCTGGGCAGATGATTAAAACACCTGACAGCTGTCAATATCTTCATGTGAACAGCGTGCAGATCTCGGGGAGAAACAATAACACAGAAAAAGAAGGCAGAGAAATAGCAGATGTGATCAGAAAAGAGAAGTGGAATACCTGCCCTGTATTCTATCTGCCATAGATCTCATTCTACTTTTAATTTCAGTTTCTTTTCTACTTTTTATTAGTCTACATTTGCAGTCACATTGTTTTAACATATTCAGATGCCAGTAGACTTCAGAACATTCTTTTAATATACTGTCTCATTTCTTAAAACTACTACGTGCAAGTAGCTGTGTCGTATTGCATTTTTTGTGGTATTTGTTCCGCTCATAAAAAAGGGAGGTAGAGTGTTGTGAGCTGATGGTGTAGGTGGGTTTTATTATTATTATTATTATTATTATCATCTTTCTTACAGGTCTTTGCAACTTGTAACTAAAATTGTTTAGATATTATAACCTGTAGTAAGCAAACTCTAAGAATAATGTGTCCCTAAAATGAGAGGAAAATAACTGTAAAGAATTCTTCATGTGCTTATATTCTAAAAAATAATAATAATCTCCTAGTTCTAGCATGGCTGCTAGTTTTAAAGTTGCTCCTTTTTTTATTTTTACAGGTGATAATGCATGTCGTGTTAATAATGGAGGCTGCAGCACTCTTTGTTTAGCCATTCCTGGAGGCAGAGTTTGTGCCTGTGCTGATAATCAGCTTCTGGAGGAAAACAGTACCACCTGCACGAGTAAGATTGTTTTAAAGAATATCTGAGTTGGTACTACTGTTAAGGCATCAAGTCAAATCTGAAAATAAATCAAAGTGTGGTCTCCTAGAGGTTTTTTTGCAGTTCTATAAGACAAAGAAAATATTCCTTGAATAAATATTCTAATTGAGGACAGTTTATTAAATATAGTAAAGAGTTTTCAAAGAAGACAAACTATTAAGTACACAAATGCATTCGAAAATATTTCAGAATATCTGGTGTGATAAAGCACTTCAATACTTCACTGAACTCTTTTAAAGAATATCAGAAATGCCAGAAATTAATCTAAATTATTATTATATTATATTAAATCTATATAAACTGGTTTCAGATTATTGTATAGTCTAAGTATTTTAAATTGAAATCTGGCACAGAAAATGGTCATGCTGAAATTATTTATTAAACCTGTCAGGCAGATATATTTATATATAACAGGTCCTGACAAACTAAACAAATTTTGCTGGCCCTTTTTTTTTTTTTTTTAAATCTCTTCTTTCGATATCTTCATTGAAATGCCAATAAAAAAAAATGTGTTAATAAAATGTGATATTTTCTTTTAAAAATAATAACTCATCAGATAATACAGGTATTTTTAAAAATGTTTAGACCTGACATTTGTAGCTTACTTAAAATTCTCCTTTTTTTTTCTTTTTCTGATTGATCTACCTCTTGAAGTGTAGTGTGTAAAACTTTATATAGGTCTCCAGCAATAAGCCTAGTAGAGATGAGTAGAGAATAAGGATTATTTCATAACATGATGAACATTATTGACCTTGCAATTACCTTGAATTTGACCCAAATGCATGGCTGGCAAAGCCATCACTGTTGCTAAAGAAAACTATTTTTCTTTTTAGCAGAAAATACTGGAAGGTGGACTTCTCACTGGTAAGATGGAATGTAAGCATTAGGAAGAGAGGTTAGACACTTTCAGATCTGAATGAAGCAGGTTTCCTGCTTTTTCCCCAACACACTTCATCGCCCGGCTCTTTCCATGGACTTTGGTTTTCCTCATAGGGTCATAGAGTGATGTGTGGTATTTACACATTAAGCCTTCTGAACCTTATGTTGAGAAATGTGTCTGTCTGGATTTATCGATATGCTTGTAGCTTGCTACTTAATTCTACCTCAGCAGAATTTTATCTTTTCTTCTTTGCCGAGTCTGTACCAGTGCATAATGCAGGTGTTTGAGTTGCTGCTTGGATACAAGAATCTGCTTTTCAGTAATCATTTTCTAGCCCTTTAACGTGCCACAGAATTTGGTCTGTGTCTGTAAGAATATTTTCACTGTTGATGAGGCATTTCAATATTTTAAACTGGTATTTTTACACTATCATCTAAGCACCAATTTAAAAACGGTTTGAGTGCCATTGTGTTCTGAGTTCTTATATTTATTAAAAATATATTGCCTCAACCATGCACTCAGATATGCATGCTGCTACAGGCTTCAGCTGGATTTACCTCAAATGTGAAAAGTTTACTAAAAAAATGTTGTGAAGAGTGATAACAAGACTTTACATCTATTTATGTAGAGGTAGTATTGCATTCTGTATGTATCAAGCTGATAAAATAGATGTGCTTCTTGGATGTTTTTCCTAGCTACCCATGGAGAAGTGCCACCGCAGTTGTGCAAAGCTGAACAGTTCCAGTGTAACAACAAGCGCTGTATCCAGGCTCGCTGGCGCTGTGATGGGGATGATGACTGTCTGGATGGCAGTGATGAGCATTCAGAAATTTGCTGTATGTATGCTTTTACATTTTAACCTGTAATTCATACTTTATTTTAAAAATTGGAAACAAAGTAATGTAAGTCTGAGGGGAGACAAACAAAACCAATAATCTCTAAGTAATTCATGTAAATCTTTCATTTTCTTAATTTCCTACATATGATAATAGTAGTCATTTCAAATGACACTCGTGTACTCATTTCATAGCATAGTACAACAGCAGTCATCTTTTGGTATTGACATGGTCATGTAGGATTCTTTGAGTGTCAGTATTTTTTTGCTGTTTCCTACTTTTTTTATATGGGTCACAGGATAATTAGTATTGGAAGGGGCCTCAGAATAACTCTAGTCCAGCCTTCACAAAGCAGGGCCAGCCTGACCTCAACCTCTAGGAAAGTGATGAAGCAATTAGTCCTGGAAACGATTTCCAAAGACATGAAAGACAAGAACGAGGTGGATTTCTGAAGGGGAAGTCATGCTCAGTCAACCTCATAGCCTTCAACGGTGCTGTGGCTAGCTTGGTGGATGAGGGAAAAGCAGTGGATATTGTTTACCTCAACTTTAGTAAGGATTTCGACACTGTCTGCCATAACATCCTCGTAAACAAGCTGACAGAGGGTGGTTAGGTATGTGGACAGTGCGGTGGATTGGCATCTGTCTCAATGGCCAGGCCTTGGGGCTTGTGATTAGTGGCTCCGTGTCCAGTTGGAGCTAAGTCATTAGTGGTGTACCCCAGGGGTTAATGATGAGGCCGGTAACCTCTTCATTAATGACTTGGACAGAATGTACATGTGACAAGTTTGCAGATGGTACGAGGCTGGGAAGAGTGGCTCACGCACCAGATGAGTGTGCTGCCATTCAGAGGAACCTTGACAGGCTGGAGAACTGGACGGAGAAGAATATGGTGAAATTCAGCAAGGAAAAATGCGTCTGGGGAGGAATAACTCCAGGCATCAGTATATGCTGGGGGCCGTCCAGTTAGAAAGCAGCTTTGCAGACAAGGACCTTGGGGTCCTGGTGGGCAGGAAGCTAACCATTAGCCAGCAGTGCACCTCATGGCAAAGACCAGCAGCATCCTGGGCTGCTTTAGGAAGAGAGTCACCATCAGGTTGAGGGAGATGATCCTTCCCCTCTACTCAGCCTTGATGAGGTCATATCTGGAGGACTGTGTCTAGTTCTGAGCTCCCCAGTAGAAGAAAGATAGGGATTTGCTGGAGCAAGTCCAGGAAAGGACTGCTAAGATGGTTAAGGGTCTGGCACATCTGTCCCAGAAGTTGGGAGAGCTGAGATTGTTCAGTCTGGGAGGAAGGGAAGGCTCAGGAGGGATCTTACCAACGTGTATACATACCTGATGGGAGGGAATGAAGAAGAGGGAGCCCGGGTCTTCTTAGTAGTGCCCACTGGCAGAACAAGAGATAATGGACGCAAGCTGAAAAGCATGACATTTTATCTGAACACAAGAGAAGACTTGTGTTGAACAATGGAATAGATTACCCAGGGGTTGTGCAGTTTCTGTCTGTGGAGATAGTTGAAACTTATATGGACATGGTCATGGGAAGCTTGCTCTGTTTGACCCTGCGTGAGCAGGGGATTAACTCAACAGGTCCCTTCCGATCATAAAAATTTCTGTGATTCTCTAATGTATTTCTTAAAAAAAGAAAGAAAAAAAAAAAAAAAAAACAACAACCCCCCCCCCACTAAACCAAACCAAACCAAACAAAACCACACCACCACAGAAAACCCACCAAAACCAAGTCAAACTAAAACAACAACAAAACCCAACCCCCCTCCCACTTCCAGTTTTAAATTAGATGGACTTTGTCTTTAAAAATACAGTTTGACTAGAGCTGTATTTTTTTTGCTGTAGAGGAGTCCCACTGTTGAAGTGAAAAATAATAGAAAACATACCAATTACGTATCTGTGCCATTCCTGGAAGACAGCTAGCCTGCTATAAAATTAGAGTTGCAGCAGTGAAAATTCCTTTCCTCTCTCAGTTTGTCATAATGCTTCCTATGTCTATCATTAGATCACTTTTCTAAACCAAATCTCCTTTATTGAAATGAAAATACTTTTTTTTCCCTTTCGATTGTAGACATGAAGAACTGATACTCTTCTACTGTGCAGCATTGCTCGATGTGTCTGAAAACTCATATCATAGTCTCTCATTCTTGTCTCTCCAAGACAAAACAACTCTAACCTGTATTTTGTTGTTGTTTTGTTTTGTTTTTTCCCAGTAGGTTATGGGTTTTTTTCAGATTTCGTTGCTCTTTTCTGTACTTTGCCAAGCGATCCTAGGGGTTGGATGTCCAAAACTGCATCTGTGTCCTTCTGCTGAGGCTTTTGTGAAGCTGGTTAGGCTGAGAGAATGCGATTGTGAGGGTTGATAGTCTTGTTTATACATCCTTGAGTAATTCTTCCCTGCTTCACACTGGCCTGATGTTGCTGATACATACTGAGCTTGTGATCCTCCGTAATGCATAGGTCTTTTTCTGTATGGCTGTTACATAGCCAGTTTGGGGTTTTTTCCTGCATTTGTATATTTTGATAGCTCCATATATTCTTTACTGATTTCAGTCCTCACTCTTTTCAAAACAGTTGTCCAGTTCTGAAGGGATTTGTCCAGTTAGTTGCTTACTTACGTTTTATTTTAACACCAGGGGATCTTACACAGAAATAAGGAGCTCAACTAATAAAGGCAGTGAGAAGGAAAATCTTTTGGCAGAGTTGACTTACTTCTCATTAAGTTAGTGTAATATATACCAATTCATTGATCAAAGCTTGTAATTCTCAGAGGTTTTGTACAGATATAAATGAAATCATAATCTGGTCCCAAATCTGTGTGTGATATACAGTTTAGGTGGCCAGTATGATAACATTAATCTCTTTTCAGCAATTGCTATAGTAACTTCAGTAGTTCTTTTTTTAGTTAATCTGAAATATTTGCAATTATGAATAGAATACACACACATTAGTAAATATATGTGAGCAGAAGCTTAACTACCATTTAAAACAATTTCTGTCTCTAGTATTAAAGTCAGGTTTTAAAAAAATCTTCCATTTTTAATTTTATTATATGAATGAAAACAGCTTTTTTCTCCCGTTTAAGTTGCTTCATAAGTATTAGGAGACTTGGAATACCTTTCTGCTCAGATTATGAATTAATCCTTCCTTCAAGTGTTCTTGCACCCGCCACACAAAACACTCATGAAGGGTTCACATGCTATGGCTGTCACGCTTGCTCTGCGTTGTTTTCAATAGGAAGAATAGGTAGAAAGGTCAAAGACAAAAGCTACTGAAATGTCAAGGGTAAGCCTGCAAGACATCCTTTCCTTTTAAATTGCGTTTGTTTCCAGATGTATGTTAAACTAAAAAAGAGACTGAGGATGGCTGAGTAGGTGGAAAATAGCTTGAGATTATTTTTAACCCAGCACTTGAAGCTGTGCATAGTTTACTGCTCTTGTCTGCTAATAATAGATCTTGCTATTCGTATAAAAGAAGCAGAACATGTATACTTACTCCAGCTGCAAGAGCAGGCCGATAGTATTTACATAATTTCTCTGCATTCAGTCTTCATTCTTTCCATGACACTTGGTAGCTAGCAAAAACATGTTTGTGAGATACCTCGTTCACTCTTGAATTGCAGATGTTTTGGTCAGTTTTACACTGTGTTGCATATTTCACTTTTTGACACCTACAATGTCATGGTAAGGAAACAGCAGATCTACATGTGGCCACTGACAGTAATGTGCATCATTTTAGAGTCTTTTATAACCTGCCCAAATCCCTGCTCGCTGTGGAATAGTATTTTGCATATGCACTTAGCAATTTGCGTCTGTTCCCTTTGGTGTTTTCTTTTGTTTATACGCACTTCAGTTTGCAGGTGTCATCGCATTGATAAAATGTGATCGAGGACACTTTTCATTAAAGAAATAGCAACGTAGTAAAATGCTGCTACCTTTTATCACTTAGTAGTTAATAGAAGAGGATCTCCATATTGACACTAGTATGGTAGGAGATTGTTATGTATTGTTTAATTTACAATTGAAGTACTGCAGTATTTTTAAATTGACTGGTTTGCTGAACAATTTTTATATCGTGGTGATTATATAGACAGAATAACCATGATAACTGCATCACCAGGGAATACCATTTAATATATTGTTTTCAGCTGCTTTTCTCTGATTACTTTCTTATGGAAAAAACGTTTATTTTTTTTCTCCCCAGTCAATCATAGTTGTCCTGATGATCAGTTTAAGTGCCAGAATAATCGCTGCATTCCCAAGAGGTGGCTTTGTGATGGAGCTAATGATTGTGGTAATAATGAAGATGAATCAAATAAAACCTGTGCAGGTAAAAATTTTACTTGGTCGTGCATGCAAGTTCTCAAACTCCAGTTCCATAAACAGTTCAAAACTGCTCTGAACTGAACCCCTCTGCTACTAGTAATCTCATTATTGACATTTTAAATTAATTCAGATTTTGATACCACTAAGGCTGGAATAACAAATTATATTTTACTTAATCCTTATGCTTGGCTGTGCTTTCCAGCGTAGTTCAGAACGTAATCTATCCCTATGGGTTGACTGTCAAAGCATTGCTTAGGTACAAACTTGTCCCTGGTAAATCTTTTTTGGTGGTTAGAATTTTGTTTGTTAACATGCTGTGATGAGTGCCATGTCACTAGTAAATTTTATTTTATCCTGACAAAAGCATAATTAGTTACTCAGTTTCTCCTTGGTACCTTGTGATTGTTTTAATTTGTAAATTATTAATTGTGTATTAGATTTGTAAGGAAATGCCAAGATGAAGATTGTTTACTGATTCTACTGCAGTAAATCATGGAGTTCCAAATATGTGCTTTGCTTCTATGGAAGTGATGTTTGGTGCTTGTCAGTAGAGCACACTAAACAGTCATCAAGTATTTGATATACAGAATATCAGGCATCAATAAGCCGATGGCTCTTTCAAGCTGAAATGCAGTGATAGGCAGTATACACTGTGCGTTAAAATATTCCCTGAAATAATTTTCCTTGATTTAATTTTTGATATGTATGATAATAACCAGTTCTGGTTGTTACTTGTGCGATTTGGCCAAAAGCTCTCTAGCACAAATGCAGAGTTATGGTGTCCCTATCACCTCTACGTCATTATTGTGGATCGTAACACATCTTGATGTCCTTTGATATTCAACTGTTTGCTTGTAGGATAAAAGTCTGATATGAAGACCGTATTTTTCATCCTTTTGTCACTTGGCTATGGGTTGAATTTTGCGTTCTTGTTTTTCCTTTTGCTCCTGCAGTGGCAAATGATATTCATGTTTAAAAAAAATACTTCTTTGAAGTATTTTACAGGTATATTCTTCTATTGTATTTTGGGCTATTTCTATGAAGGAAGATGGTAATTGAGGATACCAAATGAAGAAATATTCTTTAGATTATTGGGGTTTCTGATGTATCAGGTTTTGGTTTTGTTTTATTTTGCTTTTTAAAGCGTGGAATCACACATAGATGAACTCTAAAAGCTCAAATTTGGTATCAAAAATCGATGTCACTGTCACTGGCATTGTAGTTACCAGTTCACGTTTTGAACAAACAAAATTATAAGTCACGTCACCTTTATATGTTAGATTCTTATTTGACGTTTCACTATTCATCATCTTTCAAAGGAATTTATGTAGTTGCATAGCATGATTTCTTTTAGTCATCTTTATTTCTTCAGAAGACAGACATACATCATTTCCGTTACTGGATCGTTACAGTTGTATATTTGTAAAGCAAGGATTCTAAGAACAGTGAGGCCAGGCACATCACACACGTGCTGTATTACAATTTTTCTGTGTAAATATGAATTTCACTAGGTCATTGTTGATGTTACGAAGTACAGTTGGTTAATATTCCAGTTGTAAATTTAACATTTTTATGCCCTGATTTTTGTTTACTTCAACTCTAGCAGTAATGTTATTTCATCAAACATTAATGCTCTTCTACCATCTAGTTTTGTATAATTACATTAAAAACTTAATGTTCTCATCTGTTGAAGAAACTAAGATTTCTACGTAACAGATGTAGAACACAGTCCTGCGATAACCTCAATTTTCTGTGAAGTCAAAGGAGGTGAATGGTGTTTAGTGAGATCAGGTAAAATGTGCAGCAGGCCAGGAGATGCCCTCCAGACTTGCAGCTTCTACGTACAGACGTGCACCAAGAGACCTAACAGATTTAGTCCATTTCCCTTGCATTTTTGGAGTGTTTTGTCTTGACAGCAAGAACGTGTCAGGTTGACCAGTTTTCTTGTGGGAATGGACGCTGTATTCCAACATCGTGGCTGTGTGACAGGGAGGATGACTGTGGGGATGAAACCGATGAGATGACATCCTGTGGTAAGTAAATTTCCTTTTGGGGAAAAAAAGTAAAATTATTCTATAAAAGGATAAACGTATAAGGATCTCTTTTCACATGAACGGATGGATAGGAAAAAGTACGAGGGGCCATTTTGGTTTTATATGAACTGGTAATATTCTTTCTGAAATGGCAAATGTAGTTTATTTGATTAATAAATAAACCCATAGCAAAGGCTGTATTTTCTATTAATGAGTTTTTAACTACAGTACCAAATATGCAGATCAGTCAGCACTTTCCTAATTTACAGCACATTATCAACTACTCTCACCCTCAAAAACTGATCTTTGTCCCCACCACGCACCTCTTCACATGGGCCCCCTTGGCATGTTCTAGATGTCAGCAAAGTCAGACTGTTTCAGGTCTGTACAGAAGGTTATTTTGACGTTGTATTTTGCAGAAAAAAAATTAGTCTGTCTTGCTTATATCGTGAGAGAGTATCAGCAGCTCTGCTGCTTGCTGCATTACTGAGGTACTATGGAGAGAGGTGCCACTCTCTCATCAGCTGCTTCCAAACGATTCAGGTTTTCATAAGCCAGCGTGACTGCCTTCATCTGTTTAGCAGGTCACAGGCAACTGCGGTGAGTCTGAGAGCAAAAGGGTCAATGAGCTTTCTGCAGAACGTTGTATCAGGGTGTTCCCTGTTTACAAGGTAATAGTTGTGATATCATTTGACTTACTGATATGAATGAGTAAGTGTGTGGCAAGATAGTAGGATATGTTCCTGAAATGACTTTTCAAGAAAGAATGCTGATTGTTTTAGTACCATCACCCATGAAGTGACAGGTTGTGCTCAAAAAAAAAATAAAATAAAATCGTTACTTGAGTAAAAATTAGAACATTATTAAGATAGACTTCTAATTGCCGTGCTTTGAATCAAGTAAGTTCTGTTGTGTACAGAGGTAGAACAGGTGATCCCAGTGGACTCACTATATCTTGCAGTCACTAAAATTGTGTCGTTCTCTGTAATGGTACAGTGTGGCACTTGGTACCTTAATAGTTTATCTGCCGAGCTGTACCTTGTGTTCTCTGGCACCTTATCAGTACACAGATATTAATCTCAGCTTTGTCATTTCTTCCCATGTGTTTTGTTTGGTATCCTGTCAGCTGACCTGGAAGATTTTGTCAGATCATTTAACCAGCGTTGATTTCGCCTGCTGTTTTTCAGTTTGGCCGAACTTGACATACATTTCATGGTTTAGAATCTTGTTTATCCTCGAGTACTGCGGTTCTGCAAACGTGTCAGATATTTCATTTTTCGTTCTGCCTTACAATTTGATTGCTGATGGGCACACTAATGGCATTTATTTTGCTATTCTATTTAGTGGTATATATTTTCTTCATGTATTTTCAAGTTTTTGTATTAAAAGTAAAATCATGGTTTGCTTTTTGTTGCTGTTACAAATAGTTGATTTTTAACTGCACCGGTCTTCATCTATGAGTAACTTTTGGCTACTGTTGATTCAAATACTTAACCATACTTACATTGGCATATAGCTGAGGTGAGCAGGACTGGAAGGATGATGGCAGTACCATAGCGCATACACTTTTCCTTAAGATACAACCAGATTTACTAAGCAGCATGACATTCCTCAAGAAAATTTGGAAAGGGACCCTCCTTATTTTTCTACTTATTTCCTAAAGGAAACAAGACTTGTGGTTATTTTTTGTGCCCCATCTGTTTATCAGTTCGTTGTCATACCATTTGCACTCAATAACAGAAGGGTGAAAGACGTATTAAAGAAGCGGAGCTTTTACAAGACAGCTGGATAGCAAAGAGAAACGGGATCGGTGTCTACGCTGTGGAGAGACTTCAGTGTGAGCTCAAGAGGCACCTTTCTTGCTTTCTCTGTCTGCAGGGCAGTCAGCACAGGGATGGCTGTGAATCAGCTGCAGGATGTGCATCTCTGCTGTGAAACGGGAAAGGAGAGGTGGAGAGACCATAGGGACAAGGAGGGGAAGTGTTGTGCCTGTCCTCTAGGATGTGAGAGGGAGCTGTGGGTGATGGTGGAGGCTGGGGCTATGAGAAGGAAATACTGGAGATGCTGCAAAACATCCTTGGAAAGACTGTGGTGGGCTGAGAATCGTGAGATGGTGCTGGTGGTGAGGACAATCATAATTCGTTTTAATTAGTTTCTCTCTGTTTATACTCTTCTTGGGTGGACAGATGAACATAAAGAAAATAAAGTTATGAAGGCACTCTTGTATGGAATAGGGGAAAATTACGTTTAATATGAGTTAAGTTTGTGGGAAAATTACTGAACAACTAAAAAGCAAAATTAAAAATTGCTTTCAGCTTGGCGTGAAGCACATAAGTCATACTCTATAGCTAAGTGCCATCGTAGTTGCACATCTCCGTTAGTTGTCTCAAACAGATTTTTGTTGTCACTGTAAAGTGTTCCCACAAGAAAACCAGCGCTTTTTTTAATTAAAAAAATAAAGCAAAACAAAACAAAATCAAACCTAACTTTCTAGGAGTAATTGACAAAGCGTTGTCGTTAGTGTTAACTTTCCTTCCCACCCTTTTCTGTGTTGAAGCAGAATAATCACTTCAGTCTTAAGATCTTGGTGATCTCTAAATTTTACTATTTGATGCAGCTGGTTTGATTTGGTGCTTCATGTGTGACTTTTTTTTAAGCAAAAGTTTCCCTGAGCTTCTCTTAATTCTGTTAATTTTTTAACTTTAAAATATTTCCTGCACTAAATGCAGCAGGAGACAGCAAACCCAAGTCAGAAATTCTTTGACTTCAATGACTATTTCAGTTCTTGTCATAAGGAAATTTTGTGTTTGTAGCATGTTTTAAAAATTCAGAAAAACTCCTCCTTACTGTGTACATGGCCTAATTCTCAGGATCTTTGTGAAGCTTATCTTTGTCTCAGTTGTAGCAGCACTAGAACAACCCAATGTAGCTAGAGCAACGTAATGAGGAATACACGTGGAGATTTGTTCTAATCTTGGGCAGCTTTGGTGTGGCTGACAGGACTGTGCACCATTTTGGACATTTCTTTTTGTTTCATCTAGGATGTACTGTGCAGGAACTTCCAACCAGAAATCCTTCAGTGAAGGCCAAACTTGCCTTTAAGCAGCAGTTCAGGCAGATTGTTCACGTTGTCACCTTTGGTTTGCATTAGGAATCAGTTACTGAGAGGTGTTTTCTTCTCTTGATGGCCTGTAGAGAGAATTTAGGCTCCTCCTTATTTCTTTTGAATCAAGTTAGACTTCGATTCCTGTGGATTGCCATGGTTTTAAAGTAGATCTTGTATTTTCCAAACGGAATGGGTACAAGCACTGTTTAACATGTTAATAGTATGAGTGCACATACCTAGCTATGTTAAGCTATGTTACTGGTTTTAGAAGAAAAAGAAGTCTGAAAAAATGGAGGTTGTTCCATGCAGAAGCATATTAGACAGTTATAAAACCAAATCTGTTCGTAATATAGATGAGTGTGAATGCTATTGTCTCAGTTTTCTACTACTCTAACTAGAATGCTTGGAGGAAATAATTGTAAATCATGACAACTTTGAGTTTTATGATGTCAGTGTACAGTAACTTTGTTTCTTGACTGTTTTTTTTCCGTGGTACTTATCCTTCTCATTTTATAGTCTTCCATTTCCTGTCTTTTACTGACAGTGCTATTGCAATTGGAGAACTTTTTATACAAAGAAACACATTGACTATATGGTTTGTGTCAGTCGTCAAGCTATAATTGGTCGTAAATCTTAGCATGCTTAGTGGCAAAACCAGCCCTGGTCTGATGGGAATAGAGGACCATGTTATATGACACAGAATAATGCATTTCAATGTTGAGGAAGGATAGCGTTTGGACTAGTGTTTACAATTAAAAGCCTGTTTATCCTCTCTTTTTTGGTGTCACCTTTTTCTCCTCTCTGGATTAAGTATCTAGCAGGTGCAAATGTGTGATACGATACATGGTGTAATGTATGTGTATTGGAAGGTGGAGGAATAATACTGAAAAGGATATGCATTAAATAGTTTTTATTTCATTTTTGAACACTTTTGCAGAATTCCCAACATGTGAGCCACTGACTCAATTTATATGCAAAAATGGAAGATGCATTAGCAGCAAATGGCTCTGTGATTCAGGCAAGTATCAAGTGTTCTATATCTGAAATGAATATGGTAAATATTACATAAATATTGCTTTGGTACTCACTCTTTTCTTCTGAGACTGATATTGCCACTTTGGCTTATAACTGGTCAGAGGATAAATACAGCGTTTTTAAATTACTGACCTAAACTAGAAAGCAGCAATACTGAAGCTTCATATACAGAATGATGCAGTGGCTATGGTAATAGTTACAAGTTGTATGTTCTGTAGAATGAAGTGTGATGTAAACTTTCATTAGTTAAAAAAAAAAAGGTAAGCTGTCACCTGTCAAAGTACTTTGTACTTTTAGAAAACTGGTTCCAGTGACCAAAATATCTGATTTTTTCTTGTTTGTGGGCAAGTTCGATTTAATAAATAGCATCCCTCAAAAGGGAAGGCTAGGAAGACTTTACAATGTAGTTATTTCTTTTGTCTGAAAGAGTACATATTGGAATGGCAGCTATCCAAATGAATCTTCTCTCAGAATTTATGGTGTCATGCCAGTCCCAATAACACTGGTTTGGTTCTTCATCCACCATAGCATTTGATATCACTGTAATTTTATGAGGCTGACAGGAGTTCATAGCTGCAATTGGACAGATTCCCCAAATTATCGCCATATGCTTACTGAAATTCTGTACAAGGAGACCTTTAGTGTTTACCCAACATAGGTATCTTTTCCCTCCCTTGGCGATCACAATCAAATTATGGGAATTGCCTTAAGATTGTTGTAGTGACTACAACATTAGAGTAACGAGGAGCTACATTCCACTGTTATATAGGTGCTGCCACCTTTCTCCACCTTGCGCTGTTGCAAGTACATGGAAACAACATTTGTAATACTGTTGAAAAGAAATTCTGCCATCAGGTTTTCATTTTGGTTTATGTGAAGCTCTTTGTGCGTGTGCTTAACTAAGTCAATGAATCACTGAGAATAAAGTCAAACCACTGTGTTGGGAAGCCTGCATAGTTCCACACAACTAAAGAAATCAAGAAGCTCTACAGCCCTCTCATGGTTGCTGGTGCCTGTGATTGAATAGCTGAGTAAGTCTAAGGGGTTAGACTGTCCAAAATGACAGTCAAGTGCTGTTGGTAGATTAGAGTTAAGGAATTACTTGCATTAGAAATAATTTTACCATATGCCTGTGGGCAGTCAACTTGCTGTTTTATTTACTGCACATTGTTTTTCTCTTGCCTTTTTGAAAATACCTTTTTCGCCTCGCATCTTTCATTCACATTCTTTTATCTTCTAAAATAATATATAACATTTGCAGATGATGACTGTGGTGATGGAAGTGATGAACTAGGCTGCATTCACTCCTGTTCTGCTGATCAGTTCAGATGTCATAATGGCAGGTGTATCCCAAGTCACTGGGCGTGTGATGGTGACAATGACTGTGGAGATTTCAGTGATGAAACCAAAACAAACTGCAGCAGGGAAGGTGAGCGTTTTTTTTTTCTTCCCACATTTGGATACTTACAAAACCAGCAAATACTTTATTAGAAATACAGAGGACCCGTCTTCAGTCAATAGAGAAAGAGAAAATGCTTTTAACCTTGGTAGAGGTTGGAATGGAAAATATGTCAAGTGTAATATGATGATACAGAAGTGTATCACAGAAGGAGAATGCATTTGAAAACAGAAAGGGTATTATACTGAGATAAGTTTTGTAGTTTTGCTTTACTGAATTATGTTAAATGTGGTGTTTGTCCTATTACAGAGATGCATGCTGTCCAGATAAAGAGACAGTAAGCAGCATTCCTTAAGCTACTGTTTATATATTTTCTCGTTTTTTATGCAGTAACAATCTCATTTTTGTCTGGCCCAACTTTTTGGGTTGTTTTCTTTTCAACAGTGTTACTGAAGCATAAAAAACCTTTTAACAAACTACAGTACCATTTAAATGCCATATATTGTATTTATTTGGGTGAGGAGACAAGGGAAGGATTCTTATAGCAAAGGATAAAAAATAATCAGATAATAATGAGGGAATATTTTTTCTCTCATATTTTTCTCACAGTGATTTTTCCACAACAAAGTAATTGTACATTATTTTATTGGTCCTTTTTCACAAGCTTATGTTCTAAATCTACTTGAAGACTTCATACAAATAGATGAATTAGCAGAATGCTGTGCATGAGTAATGTCAAGTCCTTAATTTATATATATTTAAAAAAATTATTATTTCTCTGTATCAAAGCAATTGGTCTGGAACTAAACTACTCACTTCCCTCATGTTCATGCCCATCTCAGATCTTAAAGTCTTGCTCTGCCTTTTTATACAATACCATGTTATGTTGGGATTTGCACCACTGTCCCTGAAATAGCACTGTTTTACACAGTTATTGGCAGTTCATACATCTTCTGTGTCCTGCTTTACTATGTGATGCGCACTTTCCAGCAACTTGTCTTTGCTTATTTAGGATAAAATGCAAGAATGGAGATTATTTAGCAGAAAAAAAAAGGAAAAAAAAAACCCAACAGACAAGACAACTTTTAATAAAATAAGCCATATAATTATAGAAAGTAAATAAGAAATAATGAATAAAGAATAAGAAATAAATAAGATTTTTTCAAATAATATTTTTATGTACTAACAGTAATGTATAAGCTTATCATTACTTTAAAGTGCATGTTATCGTTGTTAGTATGTTATGAAATACTAGAAATACTCACAGTGGTAATAGTTTGGGAAGAGGAGGGCAAGGATAACATGGAGAAGGCCGTCATCTAGAAGATATATAGAGAATTAAGTAGGTGGTGAATAATTAAAATCACACTGAACTGAGTTCATTGCTGTGGAATTCGGAAAGGCTACAACAAGTCTGCTGGTGCTGTAAGAGCCCAGGCCGGGCAGGTGTCGGGGCCTTGTGTCAGTTAGAGCAGAGGTGTGACCTTTCGTGTTTTGCGAACTAGGAGATGGACCTTGTCGGAAAATAGAAGAGAATGAAGAAGGAGGAGGGAATGTAGCTTGAGGGTGAGCTGCAGGGCTTACGGAGCAGCAGGAAAACTTCAGCAGCCTTGGTCCTCCTTCCAGCTCCAAAGTCATTCTTGTCTGACAGCTGTGCAAAAACACATCAGCGTTTTGAGCCTGTGGTGGAGGCAGGAGTGAAGGGAGTGAGCAGGATAAGAAAGAGCTTGCCTGAAGCTTGTGTTGGACTGATGAGTTAGGAAGGAATAGTGAGTTTTGAGTGTTGTATTTGGGGACTCTGATTTTGATTGTGGTTAGGAAGGGGAATTCTAAGTCATTGTAGACTTGGCAAAAAAAATCACATGAGCAAATTCTTCGATGTAATCCTTATTTTTCTAAGAAACTCCCTCTCCTGGAAGATGCAATGGGAAAGAATTTCAGTGCAGTCCTGATGGGAACTGTGTTCCTGAGTTGTGGCGCTGTGATGGAGAAAAGGACTGTGAAGATGGTAGTGATGAAAAAGGCTGTAATGGAACTATACGACTATGTGATGAAAAAACAAAGTTCTCCTGCAAGACTACAGGTATGTGCTTGCAGATATGTTTTGCTGTCATTTACTCATTGTATGTGTGTGTGTCTGTATGATTTGATCACGTATCTACTATTTGTATACTGCTTTTAATGTTTAATTCTACAGAGGTGATGTTACTCACTGTACTTATACCAGCAAAAGAGTATTAATGTACTTCCCCTAACCTGTTTTCTCATTTGCAATGTAAAATGGATGGGGTTTGAGATTACTTAAAGCTGAAGCTGTTGTGTATGATAGTACATCAAACCAAATGTAGCATTTAATAGTACTTCAAAGTCCAGGTATTTGTCCCTAGAATTAAGTTGATTGAAATGGTATAAAGTAATCAGCTAGAAGACTTCAAAGAATTAGAACTGCAGCACTGGAAATTTGAACCACAATATTGGAAGAAAAATACATTCTTTGGGAATGTTTAAAACCGAATTTTGCTAAGCATACTTCATTAAAAAATGTGAGAAGAATATGACAATCTTTACATGAGGATATTTTGCAAGATAATGCTTAGATGGAACATTTTCTTAGGGGACAGTCCAGTTAAGGAAGAAATTAATATATGTCAGCATTGGATTAAAAATTGGAAAGTGTCTTTCAAAGCTAAATGAAATATTAATGGTAAAATAACTTTCAAAGCAAAAATTAATTGAGAGTGTAATAAGTAGTAATATTAGACTGATAGAAACGCTGACAAAGGAAATGCCCTTCTCCCTGATACTGTCTTTTTCCTAGAGCTTAGATAGGGAAAAGGTCTCAGACTACACAGCCTCATTATACACTTGCCTGTGTTTGCAGTCCTGTGCAAGGAGGGCAAAATCTCAGTCAGTCTACAGGATGAAGGATGAAATGTGACTTCTCCAGCTGTCACATACAAATACAGCAAAAAAAATATTTTCATCAAACGCTTGCTAAATTCAAGGGTATATGGCTTTGATTTAGGGGAAAATGCAGTGGCGCTTGTTGGTTGTGTGGAAACATCACTTTAGGAATCAGTTGTGACAGCTTCATCCATAATTACTTTCTTTCATTATTTTCCTTCCGTCAGTCCTGGAAAGAGCAAAACTGCTGTTATGGAAGAGGCTTGTTGGTAATGCATTGGAACAGAAAACAGTAAAAGCAAATTTTTGTTTAGCTACTTTTCAGTTTAATTCCATATGGTGGGACAAATGAGTAATAATGGTTTTATGAGAAATAGTGTCTGTCATGATCATTTCAGAATAAATGTCATTTTCTCTGTGGAGAAATAATACTGTCTGGCTTCCACACTTATGAGAATTGTTCAGATGAGGAGAAATTGGCTAATTCTCCCCTTACAGATTGCTAGGTGGTAGCATCTGCTTTCCTAATGCGGAATATGATGGGTCTGTGTAGGAACATGTGTATGGGGGGAGGTGAAAAATCCAATACGTTTTGAGGGAAGTGGCAGTAAGAATAGTAATAGTGAAATGTTACTACTCATTTTTTTGCTTACTTCTTGTATGGCTGTAAAGAGTAGCTGCAGGGTCTTTCCTTACTGTAGTTTTTGTTGGCTCTGGTTAATCTGTCACAATGCCGGAGGCGTGAACGTCGTGTTACAATTGCAGCATTTGTCAGCCTTCAGCCAAATGTGATTTTTTTTGCTTAAGAGTAATGCTGGTCTCAAGAACTCATCGCACCCAGTCCCTTTTCGGATGTGCACTTAAGAATATCCAACAGAGGCTGTTGTATAACTTACATAGATAGCCTTTTAGTAATTTGCCTCTTAACAGTTTAACATTTTTTTCTTAGTAAGTTATCTGAACCTTTGCTGCAAGCTTGGTTGATTGACTTCGTCTTTTCACCAGTATAAAAATCTTTTTCATATTCTGTCATATGTCTCCTTAACCACGTTTTTTGTTCAATAAACAATTTTTTTTTTCCTCTCACGTGTCTTCTGTTTTTATTTTCTATTTTTAAACCTTTGGTATTTTTGTTGGTCTCAATGGAACTGTCTGACCTGTGCGGTTCTTGAGCTGTGGTATCCAACCGCAGGCAAAATGCTGCAGGTCACTTGAGTTAACAGATTTCAGAATGATGTTTCTAATTTTTTCGAGGACATCACACAGTTGTTTGTGGTGATGTGTGATGAAAAATCTACTAAAGTTTGAGCAGCAGAAGGATATGAGATGTAATAGTTACCTAATGGAGATGAACTACTGTTGGGATGCTTCTAGCCAGTTATTTTCTGCTTTTAAACTAGATTAGACTTCTTTTAAATTACAGTAGATTAAATTAGATTAGACTAAGATCCAACTTCCTATTTTGAATTCTGATTCTGTCCTCCAAAAATTATTACAGACATGTACTTCAACTCAGTTTTATGTGCTACATAAATCTATCCTTTTTATTCCATCTCCCTACTTTGCCGTTAGTAGTACTTGACCAAAAGCAGAATCTGTGCAAACTCACTTAAAAAGTCATCTAATTACTTTAATGATCATAATCAAGTACTTCTGTGAAGGCAAATGCAAAAGAGCCATGAATACTTTAGTTTAGAAATCAGTGGATCTGAACTATAATGTATATTTGTCTTCCTTACTGCTTTTTATGATTCTTTCAAGAAGCAGTTAATTTTGTATCTTACCATTTTTAATGCTACCCTGTGGGCTAGTATTTTATACTTACTTTTTCTTACATGTTAATAATATATTAGAGGGGAAAAAAAAGATGAAGGAAGAAGTCGAATTTCTTTGGAATGGAAAATAAGGAATGTATGTAGAGAGGAAATAAAGTGAAGGGGTGATCATTGCAGTGATAGGAGAAGAGCAGAGAATCGGCAATAGCGCTGTCTGGATGGGGAGTGTGAGAGTCAAATGCAAGTATGTGACAGGTAGAGAAGAATGGGGAGAAGTTGATACTGAGGAAGGCTGGGAAGGAAGGGTTTTCAAGAAAGAAGATGATGAGGAAATTGGTAGTGCTGCCCTACAGATTCTGTGAGGGCTGATGAGGAGGAAAGGGTTACTGTGGAGAGGTACGGCATAGGAGGGGTTTTGAAAGAGGAGAAGATTTAATAAGAACGTAAGAATGGGGCGCATGGATGAGTTCAATGAGTGGGTGGAAAGGGTATCAGTCATTATCCTGGTTAAACCACGACAGCCATAAGGTGAGTTTACCAGTGTCGCTTCCGCTTGTTCCCTTCCTGCTCTGTCTCCTCTCTCACTTTTAGATCTTTAGAGTTGCACATCTTGTACAACTATTGTAATAACCATTCTGAACATCCTGATGGCTCAGAATGATGACATTTCTGACTAGAGGGTTGGATTCATTAGGCGTTAAAATTTAAATGAAAAGAAGCAAAGCAAGCATCACAGCAAGCAAACTAGAAAGTGATATGTGTTGTCCCAATATTGTTTTTATCCTCAGTTCATAGTATCATTATTTTCTGTGGTAATAGCTCTCTTCTTTAGGCCCTGAAATTTTTTCTTCTATCTCATCCAAGAGACATGTATAAACATCTGCTTTCTACTAAAAGCTTTTAAATGCCAGAAATTACCATGTTCTCAAAACAATGTAGTTCCTTTTAAGTCTCAGGTGTCTTCTACAGGACAAGCAATATCATTGACCGTCACATGTTGTTAAATATGTCAGATGAGAACATTGTTTCATTTTGATGGGAATGAGATTGAGTCCGATCTGTAGGTTAGGAAGGCATTACAGCTTTAGGCAGTAAGAAGAAAATGAATGCGATTAATGTTCTATCAAGGTTGACTATATAATCATTAGAAAACCTTCCTGGGCTCCATATCCCAAGAAAGACTGAACAGTATATAAAAAGTTGATTCTTTTGTACTTGCTAGTATTTGTTTAAAAAAAAAAAAGTTGGAGAAACATTTGAGTTGGGCTTTGCTAGATGCTTGTTGCTTCAAACTTCTGATTCACTACTTTACACATATTTCTTCTGTGTTGCACAAAAGAGTTATCGAAAAGAAAGGATATATCCATTATGATAAAATTTTACTAAAAACATTCCTGGAAACCAAAACCAGAAGTTTCAGTAAGGGGCAATAAAGCAAAAATGCATCAGTTAATTTTAAGTAATGATTTCAAGACAGTCATAATACTTACATTAAGTCCGTCTCTTTAGAGTTTTGGCAAAGATTAATTCCTTGAAAGTATATTCTAATGAAGAACATGTCACAGCTATCATACTGGAAGATGAATCTTTTATTATAAAACATATCTTCATTAAGGTAAGAGAAAGGCAGGGAAACGAATTGACTCTGTAAATATTTGTATGTATAAAAGATTAAAAAACAGATTAGGAGCTCTACTGGAAGCCACATCAATTTACTTTGCGATCTGGTTAGTTTACTTGGCGTTGGTATTTTCCATTAGCTTTCGTTCTACTACTGTGTTAGAATAATATTTAAAATCAATGATCATTTCAAGATAAAGAATATGGACACTTTTTTGAAACAGTTGTGGTTGCATGTGATGATAAATGGCATACATATCACACACACAACTTTATTTCCTTCTGTCTGTGCAAGTCTGTCTTTTCAGTTTAGGATATTTGGAAAATGTAGGAAAATGGTGAAAGCTTTTCATTCTGATTGACACTACTCCTTGTTTAAGTTTTCCAGGTGATTTTGCACTGGTAAAATTATGTTCTGTTGTTTGAAACCATACACACTATAGTATGATCCTGAAGTTTCACTTCTTACTTTTCTTCACTAAAAGTGAAAACAGTCTCAAATTTGCCTTGTGAATTCTGCAGAAATGTATTTTTTAATTGTTCTTGTTTCACATTATTTCATAGTCATTCTGTGAAGACGTCAGCATTTTTCCTGTTAAAAGAAGACTAAATTAGCAAACAAAAAGCTTCACACGACTCTTAAGTAAATACATCATTTAAAGGAAAGTGAAATCTGCTACTGTGTTATGGCAGAGAGTAGAATTACAGTTAAAGGCAGTTGCTACATTGTGCGAACAGCAGTACAGAATCTCTTTCGAGGTGGTTTTATATTGAACCGTGTCAT